CTCCACTGTCACGGCAAAATAAATCAGAAATTAAGAACTTGATGAAGCCGTAATCAAAGGTACAAATTGGAAGCTCATAGGTCCTGCCATTGGCTTTTATTGGTCAATCGTTATGCTCTGGATATTGGCTATGATGAACAGATACTTCTACTAGGATGACGAGTCAGGCATCGACACTCCATGACATGGGTCAAATAAGCCACAAGTCGTATTCAATTATTTATATATTCTCAAATTTTCTAATGCTCGAGGGATAAATTATGAAATAAAGATCTAACATTCCCCCGACGTGTCCGCATCCTACCTTTTTGAATAATCGTGTATCGTGTCTAAGTCCGTTTAATACATTCCTCAGGCCTTCAAGTGTTATAGAGAGAATATGTATTGATCCCTCTACGGTACGCGCACAATATTAAAGTGGACGACGAACAATATTAACTAGTTCACCTTGCCGCCCCCCCCCCCCCCCCCAAAAAAAAAAAAAATGAAAAAAAAAAGGTGCACTGCTGTAATCTTTTATTACACGCCCACCGAGTCGTGGAAACGCTTCTTTCTTCCATATTTTGGACTTTAACACTTCAACCAGGATGGTGTGTTCGCATCCGACATGTGTCAAATACCAACATTCCTAGGATACTTTTTCATGGCTATTTTTCTTTCTTTATCATAAATATTATTAATAATAAATAAGTACTGATATTGAAAAGTTTCAACAAAAAAATAAAAATAAGTATAAAACTAAATTTATCCTATATAAATGAAGAGTTATAAAGAATTTAATCAACGTGTCATTTTAGTATTTTTTTGAAAAATCGCTTGTCGACATGTTTGTGTCGGTGCATCATAGTAAAGGATTATAGTCATATGCTTGAACTAAGGACGTGGAGAGGGAAATTATTGAGAAAAGGGAGCATATTCTACCATTAAAGAAACAATAAAAAATATATAAACTAAACCTACAACAAGATAAGGTCCATCAAGAAGGCTGAGTAAGTATAATAAACAGACTCTAAAAACACAGCAAGAATATAATGATACCTGAATCAAGAACTCTTCCCTCCAGTTGTTTAGATTATCAAAAGATTTCATCACATTTACGTCGTAAACAAGAACACAGCAATCAGCGCCACGGTAGAAAGCGACTCCAAGACTCTGAAATCGTTCCTGGCCAGCTGTATCCCATATCTAATTTAACAGAAGATCTCACTATTTGAGCACAATCAAGAACTTGTCCTAAGAAAGACCAGGGTGCATATATACAATTTCAGGCAAAAATGACACGATAATTGAAAGAATTGTTTCAGCCTTGTCCTTTCAAGTTGTTTAGATGCCATTTTTCTTTTTCTTAAGCTGTTTATGGACCTGACATATGAGTCTACATAAGTAATTATCTTAAATCAAAATTATTGCTTTCTACTTTAACAGATGCTCACAAATTTCACAAGATTGACAATAGAAACATTAGTGGTGAAACCACATCTCCAATCACAGAGTTTGCTGTAATCTCTTTCCCAGTTTATCTAGGATTAAAAAAATAAATAAATTCAGACCATGCATGATGGGATCCAAGGTAGGCTTCCAAGTTTCAAGGAATTGACGCATGTTGGCGTTTTTTGGATCCGATTCAATATTCTGTGGGTTCGATTGCAACCTTACTGATCGGGTTCGCATCAATGCATACTGTTGAAAGATCCTAAACCCATCAAACAAAGAGATAGAGAAATTGGGACTCATAAATTGAATGCAGCTACGAATTGATTGAAGAGTTATTGTTCAGAAACACAACTTCATTTCTAGTCTACAGAATATACAGTAAAAATCTTTCATTAATATTATGGGGTTTTTAACACTCTCCTACTTTCCTAATTCTTCATTGTGTAATAGCTTTACCACAT